TAATATGCTTTGACAAATGGTGGTTAATTTGGAGGAGTTTGGGAATCAGTCAAGAAAAAAGGTATATATAACATGCATAGTACGAACACATGCTTCTTGCAAATTTCTTTTGGCCTTGCTACAACATTTTAAAAATTGAGAAATAAGGAATCAGAAAAATAAGCCAATTCCAAGATATGTATATCTGGATGTTTTGATGATCATCATACATAACCAAAAGGAGATGTGGCTGATTTGTGAAGCTTTTTGTACGTGGGTAGCAGCCTTTGGTGCATTGGCAAACATAATTTCCTTTTCTTGTTCTCCCAAAAAAAAGAAAAAAAAAAGAACAAAAGAAGATCTGGTTTTCTACACCCAAATTGATGCAAAATTTTTATGAAATGAATTTTCTAAATAGATTTTTTTTTGAAATAAAAAGTGTGAGAAGTATATTAACCAGGTATGAAAAGGGGATATCACCTATTTACAAAAGAGTTACAAGTGTGTTAGAGTGTCAATAACTGTCCCAAAATCCACATTTCTAAATAGATTAGGAATTGCATTTATTTCTAATCTAATTTTTGTAATAACATTGGAAATATTTTGATGTAGCACTGCAAAATAGGGTTAGAACAATAAGAAAAAGAAAAGAAAAAAGATAACCCACATTTTTTTCGTAATAATTCTCTTTACTTAACTTCATGGGCACACCCTCCTGGAATATATTTTTCTTCAGGAATTCTAATGATCGAGAATACCATGATTTGATTTCTTTGCTTAATGTTGAGCCACCTTATCATTTGTCCACAACCCACATTTGGACTTTGGATATTTCAAGTATCTAAAAATGCAGTTATTCTTTACCTACCTTACTCACATTTCCAGTTGTCACAATGAGGTTTTCACTAGCATGTTTTGGAAGGCCAAATTTTCCTCAAAGGTAAAGGTTTTTTTTTTGGACATCTGTTTCTGGATAGGCTCAATACTAAGATCTGGTACAAGTTTGTAAACCTGACTATTTCCTCGGATATGTTTGTTATTTGCTTTAGGGAAGTTAAGTCCCATTGCCATCTCTTTTTGCTTGTGAGGTGGCTTAGAGGCTTTTGTCTGGATGTTTGTTACTATTGGCTACATGTGGGTTCCTGCTTCTCCTTCAAGAGTTTTCTTTCTGTTTTTTAAGGAGGTTGCATGAGAAGGAAGCTAGGGTGCTCAATGGAAGAGCTCTTTTTTGCTGGTTTGAGGGTTTGTGGATGGAGCTTAACGCTAGACTTATTACTGATGTTACTCATACTCTTTCTTCTGGCGCATAATCGTTTTCTTTGCTTTTTTTGGGCCAAGGCTTGGGTTTTTTATGGATGTCTCTTTGATTATTTTGGGGCAAGATTGGAAGGAAGTAATGATTTTGATAATTTTTCTTGTTTTCTTTATTTTGTTTTATTCTTTAAAGAAAAATAAAGAATACAGAAATTGGCAACAGCCACATTCACAAGACTGTCATAGCCACAATCATAGGTTTTCTATCCACTCAATTATATTAGAGAATATTAGTAGTTTGTAGTCATTAATAGTATGTAGAATAATGATGACACAGCTTTCCTCATGCTCAGCTGGGATACAAAATCATACACGTAAATTCAAATGGTTCTGATAAGGAAGCCGACCCAAAAAATTCCTCCCTGGTACCATTAGTGAGAATAGCAATTCAGGTTGACGAACTATCTATTTGGACACTGCAGAGGAGTGTGGCCAAGTGAATCTATTTGGGCCAAATTGATGTCCTGAAGAAATCCTCAAATAATCCACAAGCGTTGAAGAGGATCACTGCAGGAAGCCTATAAAAAAGGGAGACACTGGTAGGCAATTGTAGCTGATCATGAACCAAATTATCGGCATGTGAACATTATTTGTTCAATTAGGATCTTTGACTGTGAAGGGAGTTGATACTTTCCTCACTTATACTTACCTCATTGTAGTGAGTTTTCTTTTCCTTTGTTGCTTCTTCATTTGGCCTCTCATTGGTGCTCTTTTCTAGTTATAATACCTGAATTGTTAATATAGGTAGCATCATGTTATTAGAGGACTCCACCAGCTTGATTGCTCATTTGTGGGTCCATCAGGGAAGGAAGTGGGGTTTCATTTCTCTAAAAACTTGAGAGGAAAAGAGGAAAGTGATTTTGGAGCTTGGTAGATGGGAGGGAAGGGAAGATCCTTCTTCTATTGATGCTGAGGTTTTTTGCAGGACTTATTTTTAAATGGAAAGGTTGGCACTACTGTGATTGGGTGTTTACAAATCATTACTAAGGTATTATCCATTTGGCTGAAAGAGTGTTAGGTGATACTACGCTAATAAAAGTGCTGTTAGCATACAAGTCTGGATGAAGGCTTGTTGCTAATAAAGTTGTTGATGAAGAAAATGAAAGTCATAGGATTTCAAAATTTTTTAAAAATTGAGAGATTAATGAAATAACAGTTATTCTTATTCTACAGAAAGGCATCACAGAAGTAGGAGAAGGATTAACTCGACTTTGGGGAAAATGATAAGCCATGAAGAAATTTCTGGACCTGCTGCCTTATTAGCTAAAACCTTTGCAACCAAGTGTTGTAATTTAAAAGTAGAAGTTTCAGTTTTGACTACATCAAAGAAGCTGAGTTCAGGCTTAAAATATTGCAACAAGATGACCGAGATTAGGCATACATCAGATTTAATGTTGGATAGCTTGTTGTATTGTCTAGTTCAATTTTCTACAGTAAAAACAAATCTTTTTTTTGAGATAAAAAGTGTAAAGTAAATATTAACAAGGTACCTAGGGGGTACCGCTCTTATACAAAAGAATTTACAAATCAGTCAGGAGGTCAATGACATTCCCAAAATTATCTAACCTATAAATGTCCTGACCCAAGACAAAAGAATCAAAAATATTTAACCATCTATCTCTGATACTAACATTATCCCCATATTTCCTATCAAAGGCTCTAGAATTCCTTTCCTTCCATATCACCAAAAAAGTAAGATAACGGAACAAGCTTGAGATACTTTTTCTTATTACAAATAGTTCATCCTTCACTCCGCCATCGCCCAATTAATACCTAGAAGCCCATAAACCATACACCATAAGTTATACACAATTGGACACCATTAAAGAATATGGTTGCAAGATTCTGCATGCATCTTGCGTAAAAAACGGCAATTAAACAGAATTTTCCCCCTTCGCATTAAATTATCAGTAGTCAATATGCATTCTCTAACTGCTTCCCTTGCGAAAAAGCAATTCTTGGAGGGGCCTTAACCTTCCATACTTGATTAGTTGGAAAGTTAACAGTCTCCACCCGGTCCCTTCTAGTCAGAAATTTGTAATAGGATGTAACAGTGAACTCTCCTGGTTTTCCCAACGTCCAAACCAAATAATTGCTGACACTATTTAACTGAATTGTAGACAACAAGAGCAATAAGGCTTCATACTCTTCAATTTCCCAATCATTGAGATTTCTGTTTACATTAACAAACCATCTCCTATCTCCATTCTCCTCAAAAAATGGCTTCCATATTCTTGGAAGAAGCAATGTCATAAATTCTCTGAAATAGGTCCTCAGTTTTACCCCCACCAACCGAATCATCCTTCCAAAACCAGCTTCAATCTCCCTTCCCCAGCTTCCACTTGATGCTCTTTTGGAGTTTCTGCTTCCCCATGCTGATTTTTTTCCATAAACTAAGACCATATGACCTATTCACATCCCAAGTGTTCCCATCCAAGTTGCTGGAACCCAACGAGCCTCCAAAATACGCTTTCACATCCTTTTATCTTCCCGCGAAAAATTCTCCACAACTATTTGCCATGAAGTGCCAACATTCATTTCAACAAAAGATCTTAAGTCCAAACCTCTCTTTGCCAAAGGTTTCGTCACATCATCCCACTTAACAAGGTGATATCTCCTGCTCCTTTTATCATCCCCCCACAGGAAATGACATTAAATGTTTTCAAGCTTCGTAGCAATCTTTACTGGAACAAACAACGCCGATAAATAATAGATAGGAAGATTAGTCAACGTACTCTTAATAAGAGTTCATCTCCCACATTTGGGAAGGTAATTCCTCTTCTACCCTGCAAGCCTTCTTTCAAATAGATCAACCACTGGATTCCACGTCTTCAAGTTTTTGTTTTTTGATCGCAATGGAATGCTGAGATATTTGATTGGAAGTTTCACTGCCTTACATCTCTACACACTCGCCAGCCTCCCATCATCCCTTATGTCCCCAGTTCTCACCAATTCAGATTTTTTCAAATTGATATTGAGATCTAGCACCGCTTGGAAACAAAGGAGAATACACCTAAGATGGAGCCACACCCTCTCCTCAGGTTGACAAAATATAAGTGTGTCGTCAGCAAAGAATTGGTGGGAAATGTCTAACCTTCAATCCGCCCGACCTACATCAGATTCTGCTCTATGGCCTTCTCCAACAGCCTACTAACTGCCTCCATCACAATAATAAATAGTAGGGGAGAAAGAGGATCCCTCTATCGCATATCTCTAGTAGCCTTGAAAAAAGTAGGACCACCATTGACCGTCACAACGAAAGAAATAGTTGTGATACAAGATTTCATCTACTTCCTCCACTTATTACCAAACCCAACTCCCCAGCATAAAGTCCACGAACTCCCCACAAACTCCCAGCTCACATGATCATAGGCCTTCTCCATGTCAAGTTTGCATAGAGTCCCTTCGCTGTTATTGTCAATAAGATCATCAACCACTTCATTGCAGTCATAACAGCATCAAGAATCTATCTATCTGTCACAAAAACATATTGACTCTTCCCTATCACCTTACCAATCACCTTGGAAAGTATCTGAGCAAGAACTTTGGGTATTAGTTTGTAAATGCACCCACTAGGCTAATAGGCGAATTCTTTAATATTTTTTGCACCTTCCACTTTGGCAATGAGAACAAGAAAAGTGGAATTGAGAGATTTTATAAACGATCCTGATTCATGCAGCTCACTGAACATCTCTAATAAGTCACTTTTACCACATGCTAGAACTTCTGTAAAAATTGCATATTGAAACCATCGGGACTTGGAGTTTGTCCCCATCACAATCCTTAAGGCCGTCGAAGATCTTCACTTCTGTAAATTCACACTTTAAATCAGATCAACTGTCCATATCCAACTCCTTGAACTGTAATCCATCAAGTTTTGGTCTTCTGTTAACCTCTTCCTTGTACAATTTTTGGAAATAACCACAAGCGTGATCTCTCATTTGTCATTACCCCAACACACTGGTTATCAATCTCCAGTTCTTCCACATAGTTGAACCTTCTTTTGTGACTTTGCCATACAGTGAAAATATTTGGTATTTCTATCCCCTTCCTTCAGCCATTTCTCTCTAGCCTTCTGCTTCCATGTAACCTCTTCCATATTCATTCTGTTGGCTATTTCCCTTCTCAATAACTCTCTCCTACTCACTTCACTCTCATTCAGTTCCCTTTCCCTTCTTTTTTGTCAAAACTCTCAATCTCCTTCATGATCTTATTAATGTGTTCTTCATCCCTAGCTTCCTTCTTTCTAGTCCACTGTTTGATCACCTCTTTCACAGAAATGAGTTTCTTGGCAATTCTATAGCTTGGCTTTCCTTCCACCTTCATGCCCTGCCGTCTATTTTCTACCAAACTCTTAACTTAAAAACTAGCCTTTTTAACTTAAATACTATAGTTGAGGGGACTTACTCCTGTTGCTCCAACAAACTTTGAGGTTGTAATAAAGATCGCGCTCAGATAGGGTGGCTAATGAAATTGCCATGCCTTGGCACAGCGGATGGCAACCACTCAAAAGTTTTGTTGAAAAAAGCTACTTGTTTGTGATATATAATCCTATACAATGCTTATTCCATAATTAGAAGCATCTACCACCAATAGAGAAGAGACATGGAAACGCAAGAGGACGGGTATGTGCCATGACCACCTTTAACTTCTCTTAGCTGTAAGAATCCTTTATTGTTGGCCGAGGTGAATTTTTCCATGGCATAGCTATCAATGGTGTTGCAATTCTTTCCGTAGTCCTTATGAAACTTTCAGCAATCACTCGCGAGTCTCAAGAACCCTGTCAGTGCTCATATTATCCTTGTTTTTGACAATGCAGCATTGCCAAGATTCTGCTGTCATGTGGAGACTCCATTACAGGATATAATATGCTGTAGATTCATCACTTGGAAAGGCTAAGAAAAATGTAGACTTGTTGAGGAAAGGAAAACGAATCAAATGCTGGATATATTAAGTCCAAGCTGCTATAGATAAGAATATAATGAAAGAAAACAAACACAAATTTATGGGAGACCGAGCCAAACACCAAGATCTTCCTGACTTAAAAGAGAATAGAACATAAGTAAGCCCAAAATCCATCCTCAGGAATTGAAAGTGACTATGGTAAGAGTAGACTCTCTCCACATTCAATGGTTGTATTTGATGATTACAAGAACATGAATTCAATCTGGTGAAGACTTGAGTTTCATGGAGCTGGTTTGATAGTTCCTGAATGACTGGGATTGGGAATTTGTCTTTGAAAGCCTTTATATTAATTGCTGGATTCAGCACAAAACCTTCAGGTTCATCTTTCTTGTGGATTAAAATAGGAGGAGAAAAAGGTGATTGACTTGCCGGAGTAATACTTCTCTTCAGCATCATTACGAGTTGTCGCTCAATCTCACCTTGGTTCTAATATTATTTTAGTCAAGCGGACACCAGCACGATCGACACAGATGAGGTGATTGTGTGCCCTAGGAAGTGGAAAGCCCAATCATTCACCGGTAGTAGAGTTAAGTTCTGTCAACATTAGATAGAAGGTGGCCCCGGTAGCCTAGCTTTCAATATGACTCAACTAGTTGTGCAATTTAAAAAGATCATACTTGTAACAGAAAAGCCCAACAGCTAGATCCTAGTGTCTCGAGCTCATTAGTCCCTAAGCTGATGCGAAATTTGCCCAAAAATAAGAGAAAGAAATTCAAGTGGAAGAGATGTGACCCTGGCTACAAAGAAATATTGTCACAAATGCCATTTGCTTCTTGTTGGCAACAATCATTCACAATGTCCTATCCCTTTTATATTACTGAGTTCATTTGAATGGTAAAAGTAATATCCTCAAAAGTGTGGTTACTACCAAAATCAACAGTGGATTTACTATGGAACTTAAATTTGCAAGGTTTATGGCAAGTACAATCTATTGGTTGCTTGCATGGAGACTTCTGGTTCAATGGGCTCCTTAACCTTATTTGGAGGCATTTTTTTCGACATTATGCTCATCTCCTGTTCATCCATGGTCACATAGACTAGAATAATGTTTTTATGATAATGATCATTATGATGGCATTTGTCAAAGTTGAAGCAAGGTCCCTTAATGTGCCAGCTGTTCCAGTTCAGCCTTGGTGGTACGCTCCATGATGTAGGGCAAACTAGGTCTAGTCCACCTAGTAAGTGTCTATTTAGCTTGACCTGTACTTGTGTGTGTGCTGGTAAAAGTTCTTTAAAAATATTTCAAAAGAAAAAGTGTTGAAAAATCGGCTTTCAGTAAAGGCAACTTTAGATTGAAAAACAATATAGTATTTGGTAGAATTTGCTATAGAAAGTGCTTTTAATATAAAATGTAGTATTAAATACAATTACTTATGTATTAAAATTAATAATAAATATTACAGTGATAAAAACTTGCATAACACTAAACAATCAACTTTGTAATTATTTAGATAATATTATTTTTTAAAAATATTATAAATAATTAAATTATTTTTGAAATATTTATTTTAATTTGATGATTTTGTTTATTATATTCAACATAAATATTAATTTTGAATTATTATTATCTAATTTTAAAATAAATAAATATTATTTAAATAATTTTGATAGATATAAAATTCTAAGTTATAAATTAATACTATATTTTTATTTTAAAAATATTAGACCGATAAATTAGTAAAACATAAATGGAATAAATATACTTGTTAAGAATATTATTCGTCTCTTACAGCAAGTCATTTTTGAAAAGTATCTAGTTTCAGCATTTCATTGGTTTAAAAATATCAAATAAAAAGTATCTAGTTTCAGCATTTCATTTTATTTTTTTTAAGAGCCAAAAACAACTCCAATTTGATGTAAAAGTACTTTTGTGTTTAGTATTTGACTAGTTTTCTGTGTTTTAGAAGTAGAAACATAAGCAGAAATCCAGCCAAACAGACGCATAGACATTAAGTTTTGAATTTTGCGACTCTTATCTACCACACTTGAGAATTCAGATTTAGAGTTTGCGAATAACAGAACTACAGATAATTCACACCTAGGATCCATACTTGGGCTGAGAGTTAATTGCATTACACAGTCATCCAGAATAATTTGCAGAGGAAATTCTCCGAATAATGTAGTGAATGATATGTATATATATATGTTATAACCATATTCTTGATATTCTTATGATGCTATTACAGAAATCTCATAACAGAGATTAGACATATAATTTTGGGGTTTAATTTAACCATATTCTTGATATGACTGTAATGCTATTAAGAAACTGAAAAGAACTTAGAGCATAAATAAGTTCCTAATCTATTTAAAACGCGATCTTGGAACATTCCATAAAAATGGCATATTATGGGATTGTTCATTCTTTTAAATGGCAAATAATGTTAGATAGATAACTCTGGTTAAGAATGTGAAGACTTGTAGGTAAGACGAAATCTACATGTTAGCTAGTTTGTGTCTCATGTCATCCATGAGCTGAACCTCTGTAGACTCAGTTGGTGCCTTCATAACAACCAGAAATATAACATGCTGAAAGCTGAAATTAAACTGAAAAAGCTGGAGCTAAACTGCATAATGTCAGCTTGCTAAAACATCTTTTGTAGTCATTTGTAAAATGCCAGTACACTTGGCTACCAAAAAAGGCTGCACTGATATGGACTTGTGGGAGTCCATAGTATGTTCTAGCACCATGGAATTTATATTTTTACATAGGCAAGAATCTGGATGGAGAATGCTTTTCCTTGCTGATTATGTGAACATTCTCTAGAAAAGATTGTGATAATGTGGAACTTGGCCTTGAGGTGTTTTCTTGAGTATATGTCTTCTTCATAAACAAGTAGGGTTGTGCCCTTTGCTTTGTTGAGAGTTGGTAACTTCCCTCAACTGCCTTTTGCAAACAATCTCTTGGAATTGTATCATATATGGTGTCGACATGTTATAACTGTACCTCTGGGTAACTTCTGGAGTACTGAAACATTTTGGAAATTCTAGGTCGTATTAACATGATGGTGTTCTCTTATACTTGTTAACTGGTCAGTAAATTGTTACAATTCTTCCTATTTTATCATAATTCTTGTAGAAAGAATGAACTATTGGGTTCCTTATCCTGTTTAACATATTACACTCACAACTAAATGAAATAAAATTGATCATGTTAGATAGATTTATCTTATTTTAACTATGGTGGACCATGGCACACTTATCTGTCATCACTGATTATAAATTAAGATCCTATACTTGTTCAACCATATGAGCTTGTGTAATTTCTCATAAGGGATTAAGACTTTTTAAGCAATTCCTGTTTATTTTGAACAACCAAATAAAAAGCTCGAACAAGAATGGAGATTCTTAGCTGCCTTTTGCTTTGTTGTTTCCTAATGATTCAGTGAGCTCGTGTTTAAGGGGAAGACATGTTTGTTGCACCATGTAAGGAAAGTAGACGTTGATTGCTCCATCTGATTGCTCCATCAATTTACCATTGTTGTTTCAGTTGCATATTTTGCGTTGAAACTCTTAACTCACCATCTTTGTTTTTATTTTTAGATAGAATGACTAGATATTTGTTTTGGCAGTAGCTAAAAGCTGCAAGCTCGCTAATTTTGTTTTTCACCATATTTCTCTGCTGGATTTACCTGAAACAAGAATGTTTGATTCAGGAGAATGCAATAAAGATAAATGGAATACATAGTAGGTGGGAGTAAGTAAGATTAATTATGCATGTTATTTGGTTGGTGTATTTTTTTGATACAATTTTGGTTAACTGGTGGAAGTAAGTTTGAACTAAACTAAAAATGACCAAAATACTTATACCTGTTATATTTGTTATAAATTTTATTTTACACTAAGATGTAGTTATAAGGTTTAAAAACTATTGCAATTGTAATGAGTTTATAGATGGAAAGAGTTCACAACTGAAAGAAAATGACCTTATCAGATGTACCGGTGTTGCATGTTTGGCTGTCGGCTCGGCAATGCCGGCAACATAACAGAAATTATCAATAGCTAAAGCTAAAAATTGAAATCAATGTTGATTTTATCACATAAATGAGGAAAAGAGAGAGATAACATTACAACCCATTGAATGTTTGGAATGGAGAATGTGTCTGGCATTGTGCGAGGGGTGGAGCAAAGAATGGAAACAATGAAATAGTTCCCACTGTATTCAATCAACCAAAGACGATGTTAATTTCATATAACCGTAGAATTGATTATGCTTTTGGAAGTATTGAATCGTATTTTCCTTAATGCATATATATTTTTCTTTTGCAGGGACGGTTTGAGATTATTTCTCTATCAGGTTCGTTCCTACTTTCTGACGACAATGGTAGTCGCAGCAGGACTGGTGGTTTGAGTGTTTCCCTGGCTGGATCTGATGGTCGAGTTTTAGGTGGTGGAGTTGCTGGAATGCTAATGGCTGCATCCCCAGTACAGGTAGTCCTTATACTGCTATTTCCATATCACTTGCAAATATGAAGGTTATTAGGCCATTAACCTAATCATTTTGTGGTCTTTAATGAGATATTGCTAGAGGTCCAGATTCTGGAAAGTCAATTTTACTTCCAAGTAAAAATTATGATGAGAGTACCATTGGCAAAAATTGTAAATTAATTTTGTGAATGCATGGAAAGTTTATGAATGGTTCGTTTATAGACTCTTGATCACTGTTTCCTGCTAGGTCATTGTGGGCAGCTTTATTGCAGAGGGGAGAAAACAGAAGTCAAATATGGTAAATTCTGGACCGTCTTCGGCACCAGGTCACATGTTGAATTTTGGTGCACCAGTGACAGGTGCCAGTCCTCCGTCTCAAGGGCCCTCCAGTGAGTCTTCTGATGATGATGGTAGTAGCCCGCTTAATCGTGGGTCTGGACTCTATGGTAATCCCGGTCAACCTCTTCATGGTATGCAAATGTACCAACTATGGAGTACTGGACAAACCCAGCAATAGAATGAATGCTCCCAAATTAACAAGTGCAGTTGGTTGGATGTCAAGTTCTTGCATGGAGCAGATTGAGATACCAATATCGCTAATATTCACCGATACAAATCGTAGGAGGAGCTTTTACTTTTTTACTTGTAGGTCAACTCCTTTTCTTTCTTCCTTCTAAGTAGGTTTTCAATTCCTTGTTTCTCCCACGGATTGGAAGATGGCTATTGTTTATAGCTTCTGAGAACAAGCCACCGGTTTTTTTATGGTTCAAATTTGCGTTTACAAGTGCATTGCTTGTTAATTTTCAACATCGGTAGCCTCCCTATGTAAACTTGTTTCAAGAATATGAATATCACGGAATAGAGATGAGCGGGCATTTATTACTAGAAAATTTCGAATTCTTTTTTTCTTAAACTATGAATTTGAAATATTAGATATTGTTGGTAGGTAAGAAAACTTGAATTTCAAATTAAATTAAGAATTAATAACTTAATGTCTTAAATAGGATTACATAAACTAAATTACTAAAAATAAATTATTATCAGTTATATGATATTTAAAAAAGAAACAAAAATTAAATATTTTAAAAGATATTTTTATTATATTTAAAAGATTATTATATTTTTATTATATTATTATAAATTAAAATTAATTAAAAAATAAATTTTATTTAATTATAAATTAATAAATAAAATGAATTATAATTTTTACATTAATCTTTTAAAAATATTCCAAATATTGATAAATTCCTGGATAATTTTTGTATTAAGTTGTCTAAATAGCTAGCGAAATTATTTTAAAAAATAAAAAATAATAAACATTTTCTTTTCTAACGGTTTCTCCAATTTTGTCTTAATTTCTTCTTGCATAGATATGAACATATTTGATTGACAGCAAAGTTGACAACCCATCAGCCAGTTACTCTTTCTTTTTCTTCTTCAGTTGCTTCTTCTTTCTCTTCAGTTACCTCTTCTTCTACTTCATCTGTTGGTTCTTCTTCTTCTTCTTCTTCTTTCTTATCTTTAGTTACTTCTCTTCAGTCACCTCTTTTTCTACTTCATCTGTTGGTTCCTCTTCTTCTTCTTCTTGCTTATCTTTAGTTACTTCTTTTTCTTCTATTCCTCAATTACTTCTTTTCAGTTACTTCCTTTAGTACTTCTTCTGTAAATTTTATCTTCACTTTACTTATTTTTCCTTGACTTTTTTTAATTATACTGTAATTTCTTATTCTTCCTCTTCAGTTACTTCTTCTTCTTCTTTTCATCTAATTACTTCTTTTGCTTCCTTCAGTTACTTCTTCCTTCTCTTTGGTCACTGCTTCTGCTTTTTCCATTACTTCTTCTTCCTCTTCAAGGGCTTCTTTGTTTTTTGGGTTACTTCTTTTCCCTCTTCAATTATTTCTCCTCCTTTTTCAATTACCTCTTCTTCTTCTTTTTAGTATTTTTTTTTTTTACTTTCTCTTTTGTTTTCTTATATAAAAATCTTTTTTGTTTTTTACTTTCTCTTTAGTTAATTCATCATCTTCTTCTTCTTTCATTTCTTCTTCTTTTAATTCGATTACTTTTTTAGATGGATTGTAATATATACATAACGTGCAGCGGAATATAAAAACAATAATTCAATCTGATTTATTTGTGCTTAAAAATTATATTGCAGATCAATGATTAAATTTAAAATATATCTGTTAATAGGTTCTTAAATTAAAATCATTCAAAAATACGAATACTTTATGCGTATCCACACCGAAACCAACCTTTGTTGTAGCACCCGGAAAGGAGAAAAAAAAAAAAAAAAAAAAAAAAAAAAAAAGGGGGGCCACGTCAGCAGCCACGTCAGCAGGCCCGGTCAGCAGTCCCGGCCAACCGGGGCCTGCCACGTGGCAAGACCGCGTCACTCCGAAAGGAGCCACGTTGGCGATCCGCGTGGGTGCGATCCGACGGCCCAGATCAATCGCGCGATCGGACGGCCCGGATTCAATCGCACGGACGGCCCAGATTCAATCAAAAACGAACGGCCCAGATTAAAACGAAATGAACGGCTGTGATCAAAAGGCAAGGGGTTATAAATAGAACCCCCACACCAGACCACAAACCCTAGCCGCCCGCCGCTCGCCGGAGAAGACGAACCAGAGGCCGACCGCCGCCACCCGCCGCCGCACCGGGGAAATTTCCGACCGCCGATCGAGGTAAATTTCATACCCCCGACTCGTTTTTCTCCGCTGATTCCTCCTATGGCCAAATTGAGGCCGAAATCCCGGCCAAACGGCCGGAATACGCGGCCGAAACCCAGCGGCGCCGCCGCGCCCCTCTCGGTTTTTGCCTCCGACGAGGTCCTTCCCGGCCTCCGTTCGATGCAATTTTTATATCACCGTGATCACCATTCTTTTCTCTATAGGTTGACCGAAGCCGAATCACCAAAACACGAACCTCGCCGGAGAGCCGCCGTACCCGAGAGCGCCGCCGCCGGTAAGCTCCGCTTTTCCGTGATTTTTGGCCCCCCGGGGGCCCTAGGGTTGTTTTCTGACAAGGACCAATGCGAGTGTGGCCGAATTCGGCCGAAAACAGCCAACTCGAGGCGACTCGCCGCCGCCAGCGGCGGCGCCGTCGCCGGAGCACGGCGGAGCCGCCGTGCCGGAGTTGCGATTTGGTCCGAAAGGGGCCCTGGGCCTAATTTGGATTTTTTTGGAACACGTGCAGGTACTGTTAGTGTGTTTCAGTTCCCCGGAAAAAATTCAGGGAAAATTAGGGACGGCCTGCAGGCGCACTGTGAATCGTATTCGGATCCCGAAAACAAGTAAGGACCCCTCACCCTATTTCCTATCACGGTATTAAAGTTCAAAATGATAAAACGGTATTTCTTGAATTAACGCATGTGTGAAATTGCTTAAGGTTGCTAATGGAGCCCGAGTCTAGTGTGATTGATGATTTACTGTTATTTGGCCTGTTTTACACTGTTTTACAGCTTTAAATGCATTATGGGGTTTGATGTGTTCATTTTATAGTTTCGAATGCATATATTACTGTTTTATTAATTATGGGTTGAATGACTGAAGAACTGATACTGTATGTTGTCTGTTCGGCATGAATTACGATTTGCTTGTTTAAATGTGAATTGATGATGCTTATTGAGGAAAAGGGAAATGAAACATTGTGTAGACTGATAATTATATGATGGGGTCAGCCTGACTAGATATCCTGGGAGATGGTGGACGGACCGGGTCCGTAGGGAACCCTACCGGGATTGTGGTCTCACATGCCGGACGGGGTATGGAGATCTTATGGTTTTGGCGCCCATACCGGACGGGGTATGGGGACGGCCCGTTTCACCCTCATACCGGACGGGGTATTGAGGTTTATGGTTTTGGCGCCCATACCGGACGGGGTATGGGGACGGCCCTGAAAACTGATTATGAATGTTAAAGGTTAACGGGTAGCGGGACCCCTAGGGACCCCCATGGATACTAGTAGGCTGGTAAATGAGAAAAGGATATGTTGTATAATGATTGAATTACAAAAGGCGTGATAAGTGCTATGTTTTACAGCTTATATTATTCCATGATTGTGATAATGTTATTATTTTTCTTATATTGTTTTCATAAATTCCACCGAGGTAAGTGGATGGTAAAGGTTTTCATGTTAATAATCGAGTTTATTGTAAATTATGCTCCATTGGTCTTTTTGTATTTTTCTACCCACCTTTACCTCCGTGACGGTGAGATATCGTGATGTTCTTACTGGGCTAGTGTAGCTCACTCCTTATTTAACCATTTCAGATCAGGAAGACATGGTTCCCGAGCCCGTTCCGCAGGAGGACGACGAAGGGGATGCCTAGAGACTCTGTAGTCATACTCATAGTTTTATTTTCGAGTTTCTCTCTTAGTTAGTTTAATCTTTTATATTTTAAGTACGTTTCTGGTTTTTCGTGTAAGGGATGTTAACTGAAATTTTGATCTCTCTTCCGCATTTGATATATTTAAATACTCATACCATTGTAATGTTTCCGGGGCCGTTACATTTGTGGTTCAACTCTTTCATTAATGGAACGTATGAATAAATTGAACAATATAAATATGTTAAAAGTTTCTAATAAAATCTTAACATAGAATTCACCCATCTTTCTTTTGGTGTGCAACCGATTTTTTAATTCTTTTCACTCTCTTTTTAAAAACTCCACACACACACATATATATATATATCATATATATATATATAGGTGGCATGGGTGTAGTCGTCCAAATTTATTTGGACTCATCCACTTTCTTTTCTTTTTCTTTATTTAACACCTAAATATTTACATATATATCTCACATATATATATATATGTTTATCCTTTTTAATTATTATTATTTAATAAAATAATTTAATAAACCAATTTAATTTCAAATTAAATTTTATAATAATTTCAATTATTATAATAACCACACATATTATATTATTACACTAATAATGTAATAACCAAAATATAAATATTAATTTTCTATTTTAAAAATAGAAAAATTCAATTTGTCTATAATATTAATTATTTCTCGATGCTAGCAAAGAATATAATAATATTCCATTTAAACCAAAAATTTTATTTATTTGATTAAATTAAATTCTCTAATTTAATTTTTAAATAATTAAAATAATTAATCTATTTAGTAAAAATCAGAACATTCGTTAGTGTGCGATCCCATAAGTTCAACACTAACTGGTAGCAAATTGGTCAAACCAATTTAGTAATTAAGGTTCACATTTAGCAACACTCTTCAACGACCGGATAGTATGAAATGTACAATTATTCTCAAGAACCTGCTAAAGAAATATGTAATATTTTCTTCCGTCATTATTGCTCTGAATTAATCCTAAAATATAGTTTAACCGTCAAATTCCAATAGGTAACCAACTATGTTTTATGTCAATTATAATTGACTAATGAATGACATAAAAAACTCTTTTCTTCTTTTATTCAACTGCCCTGATCAAGTTTTTAATTTAGTCATTATAATAGATGACAAAATACAGATTAAATTTATTATCTAAGTTGACAGATTCCATCTTGACCAATCATTAATTCTACAAGCATCTAATTATACTCAATATCTTTTCAACTACAGTTATATGATCATAAGTATCTAGAATCAAAGTATAATAAATGATTTATCAATTACCATGATGATCTCAAGTCTAAGGAAATTCTTACATCTTATCAAAATAAGATAATACTTTATTGACAGTTTAAAATAATATTAACCATTAAAAGTCCTCAATTGGGTCGGTTCAATGATCATATCTCCATATGCATCATCTATATATGTGATTTAATTAATGAGATTGACTAATTTTTATCTTATAGAGACTATCACATATATATTAGTCTTACCGGATCACTAATGTCTCATTTTGATGATCC